AGAGCTCCTTCCTGATGAGCCTCCTCAATGAGCTGCCCGTGGAGGCGGGCCGCGTGGAGGTGGAGGGCAGCGTGGCGTACGCTAGCCAGGACGCCTGGTCTTTTCAGGACAGCGTCCGCAACAACGTTCTCTTCGGCATGGACTACGATGACAAGCGCTACCAGAAGGTAGTGGAGGTGTGTGCCCTCCAGCGCGACCTCACACTGATGCCCTTCGGCGACCGGACGCTGGTCGGCGAGAAAGGAGTCAGTTTGAGCGGTGGCCAGCGAGCGAGGATAAACCTGGCAAGGTAAACATTTACATCAAAAATTTTCAAAACTCAACGATTTGTTTACATTTAGAGCGGTGTACCGAGACGCCGACATTCTCCTGCTGGACGACCCGCTCTCCGCCGTGGACACCAGCGTGGCGGAGCACATCTTTGAACGGTGCGTTCTAGAGCACCTGAAGGAGAAGATTCGCATTCTGGTCACCCATCAGGTGCAGTTCATCGAGAAGGCGACCAAGATTCTGGTGCTGAAGGAGGGGCAGGTTTTTGCCTTTGGCAGCTACAATGAGTTGCAGCAGCTGGGCATTGACTTTATGAGCCTTTTGTCGGAGCCAGAGAAGGACCGGAAAAGTGAAAGTGGGGATGGGGACTCCCTTTCCCGCGACCGAACCACTTCAACGCTCAGTCTGGAGCGGTCCATCAGCGTGCAGAGCTGTGTCAGCTCGGATGCGCTCAAGGGCCGCTCGAGGACGCTCTCTTCGGCAAAGGCGACCGAAAGCTTTGAGGTGCAGAATCCCGAGGGTGATGACGACGACGACAATCAGGCATTAGAAGAATCAACCGAAATTAAAGCAGAAGAGGAGAAATTCAGCCGTGGCTCAATCAAGGGTCGCGTCTACAAGGAGTACCTGAAAGCTGGGTCAGGGCCGGTGATGTTCATTGCCATGATCTTCTTCACCGTCGCCTCGCAGGTGCTCTTCCACGGCTCGGACTACTTTCTCACTTACTGGTAAGTAAAATTATTTGAAGTAATTAAGCTAATTTAAATCAATTCAACTCATCAGGACCGACAACAACCAGCGCGATGACACTGTGGTGGATGAGTCGCGGCAGACCACTGACATCATCATTTACTCGGCGCTGGTGGCCGCCCTCTTCGTCACCACCATCCTCCGCTCCGTCTTCTTTTTCGTCATCTGCATGACCGCCAGCGTCAATCTGCACAATAAGATCTTCGCCCGTCTGCTGCGCGCCCAACTGGCTTTCTTTGACGCCAATCCCGCTGGTCGCATATTGAACCGCTTCACCAAGGACCTGGGCATCATTGACGAGAATCTGCCCACGACGGCGTACGACCTCAACCTGACCATCGGCCAGGCAATCGGCGTCATCATCACCGTCAGCATCGTCAACTACTACCTTGTTCTGCCGGCAATTGTCCTCGCAGGGCTGATAGTCTACATTCGCGGCATCTACATCAAGTCGGCGCGGGACATTAAGCGATATGAGGGCCTTGCCCGATCGCCCGTCTACTCGCACGTTTCGACCACCATTGCCGGGCTGGCGAGCATTCGCGCCTACGGAGCTCAAGCGCAGTTTGAGCGGCAATTCTACAACTACCAAAATGACCACAGTGCCACGTGGTTCATCTTCATCAGCTCCTCGCGAGCGATGGGCCTGATGATGGACTGGATCAGCACCCTTTACATCTGCATCATCACCCTTGTGGTGATGCTCAGTGGCAGCATTCAGGGCGGCGAGGCCGGCCTGGCAATCTCTTCTGGTCTGATGCTTGCTGGAATGACGCAATGTTACGTATTTCTGATCCTAGACCGTGCAAAATTTTGCGTCGTGAACCAAAGGACCCAGTGCGGTACTGTGTTTGGTTCATCACACTTAATTTAGCAGTTTCTGTTTTTAATACTTTTGACTAATAACCCTTTTTTTATTTTACAGGGTGAGTCAAGGCTAATATCTGCTAACTCTTTAACTGCGAGTATCATTCAGGAAACAAAATTGTTTTCATAATGAATATCTGCAGTAAAAGATTTATGACCGAACTTTTAACTATTTTTGTTTTAAACTTTTTTATCAATCACTTTTACAGGGTGTTAGGTAAGTGATTGGGATTGAGCTTTTTAAAGTTTTTCGTTAATTTCTTTTTTTCTCTCTTTTCTCTGTGCAGGCAATCGGCTGAATTCGAGTCGCAGGTACGTTAACACAATTTTTTTTCTGCATAGTGACAGTACCGAGGAAAACTGCACTTCGGTTGTGTTAACGCAACACAAGCTTCCGCCCTAACAAGCAAAAATTTAGTTTATTACAAACTTATTTTTTTTGGTAGATGACCTCCGTA